TCATACTTATGTATTCTGAACCTCTTAAAACTATATTAAAAATCTGATAGAGATTGTTCTATACTAGCTATATCTTTATGATTTCAATGGTTTCCTTTTGTTTATTTGTAGTTTTTTATTTTATTTAGAGCTTTGAATCCTTCATAGTATTCACAATGAATTCAGCTTGATTTTAACCTTCTGCAGTGACTACTGCACAGCTTCTTAATTTTTGCACTATAATGCAGTCAATGTATTTATAGTTCTTGAAAATGTCACATGGCAATGTTATGCCAGGGACAGCACATCTCAGAGACTCCTTAAGATGTCTGCATTGTTGTATTCTATTTGTAGAGGCATTTTTGTCAGTGGCAATGAAGAAACAGAGCAGCTGCTGCAGCTCTTTCAATAACATTCAAGTTTATAGTTGACCCAGGGGGCTCACATTATGACATCCATATTTAATTTAACAATAAATCATATTTTCATGGACTACAGTATTGCATTATAACCTCACTGTTTTATGTGCATGGGAATGCAGCAAAAGCAGGCTAGTATGTATCTTCAACACAGGCTAAACGGTTAGTTCCTGAGAGCAAGGTCAAAGTGTACAGTGACAACAATATATAAAAGATTTTCTAACAATTCTTAGAAGTCTGAGGGGAAAAAGGACAAAAAAAAAGCTGTCCAGAAGAGACTGAATATAACTTAGGTGCATTTTTTTAAAATCCTCTAAACTGCACCACCTTGTTTACTGTCAATTTTAGTTCTGCTCTACACTTACCATTGCAGTCAGCATTCTCTGTATCTCATTTTCTCTACTGCTTCATTCAAGCATATTTAAGGAGAAAATTAATACCATGTGAATCTTAAGCTTTACCCTTCCCTTTCTCTTCACAATAATTTATCCTATCTGCCCTGCATCTTTTACTGTTGACCTTCTATCTGACTCCAGATTAAATGTTCATATGTTTTCTATTTACTACCAAATCTAGTCCTGCTTGTTCACATTTATTCTTGCTCACCTCTCTCCTATTTGTCTCTGCCTGTATCACATCACATCATCCTCAACCTCTTTACTTCCTATTCCTACTAATTTCAACTCTCTTTCCAGTGCCTACTTCTTGCAGCCCTTTGCAGCCTAAAATTCATTTAATTCATTCTTTCTTCCCCACCAGCATTATTAATAATCTTCTACTGGACAGATTATGGAATAACTTCATTCATTGCTCTTTTCCATCAGCTGCCTCTGGCAATAGTTTACCCACTATTTGCTCTGCTCTCCTGCATAGACTTTCTGAAACTCTTTTATCTTTTTTAGAAGGTTCCACTTCTCAAAACTAAGTCATTTCAATTACCTTTTTATTGGCAGCCTTTGGTCTAGATGTCATCCTTAACATACATTACATAAAATTAAGGAAGAGCAACCGTAGTAAAAACAATTTCACTACTCTGATCCATGTTCTCTTTTTACATCTCATCCAGTCTTCTGTTTGTCATCTCTTCATGCATTGTATCTAAATTAGATTTTCAGTTCCTTGGGGTAAGAAGACATCATTTTCATTTATCTGTAAAGCACCATGCATGCTTATGGCTCTGTGGAGATGCTAAATACGTATATCCACTTTTATTAAAATATTGATGCTTTTATCTGTTCATATAATGCAGAGGCAACATGGCAGCAGTTGTATCCATTTAAAAACTATTTGCCATCTATAATAGCTATAATGTGATATATTTATAGTAGCTGCATGCTGTTCACTTTCTATTTCCTAGTTCATACTTATGTTGCTCTTTCTGATCTTATTAACTAACACTGCCCAGAAAATAACAATCTCAATTTTCTCTGATAGCATCAAAATCTTTTTTCTAAAAATAAAGCATAGAGGGAACACACAGTGGTTTTATTACTCATCCATACCGTGTGATCACAGACCTAGTGGGTGAAGGTTTCTGTATCAACTCAGGATTGCTCCTGGCCTCCAAAATCTTGTGATTTAAATAGTCCTGATAATAGTAAAAAATTTAGGAATTTTGGAACCAGCTTTCTTCCTACCTAGCTTGAGAGGCACTGAAGTATCTGATTTTCAGAGTACTAGATCATAGCACGTTCTAAAACACAAGGTATTGAAAAGGGAAGCTCCTTATTATCCTGAATATTTTGGCTGACAAAATTAACATAATGAGTGCAAGCATGTATTCTAAAAGCTACAAGGGGTTTTAATGCAAAAAGATAAAATGAGGAGACTATCAATTCAGTTATAATATATTAAAATATTTCTATTAACAAGTGCAGCAACAGGCCATAGATATACTTTCCTTTGTAGTCAAGCATATTTATGTCTTGGTTAGACAAAAAAGGAAGTAGGTATGCCCAAATCCCACAGCTAAATCCACACAGGCTCCTGTCATGACCCAGAGCTCATTGCATGAATGAGCCTGTACTAATAATTTAAAAAGTTATCTCTAAAGATAAGGAATTACTATAGAGTAGACAGTGTATGCAGAGCAATTAAACTGTTCTGCTTCACATAACATTTAATAAATGGTTAAGCATTTAAGCATTGAATAAAATGAACATCTCCAAATATCCTATTTTGCAGGATATCTGAGCTGAGTACTTGAAATAGGTTGCTTATTCATGGGTCAGTACACAGGGAGTGGTCTTAAAAAGCAGTTTACTCAGAGTAGAAGGAGAGAAGTTACATGGGGATAACATTACTGGCATTTCTTCATAAAGTGCCTTACAGGTGATGCATTTAATATTTATACTATCCTTGCATACAGAGACCTGTTTCATGCAGTGTTTCACCATGCTTTTTACTGGATAAAATGATCAGTCCAACTTAATGTCGAACCGCATACATAATCATAGAATCATAGAATGGTTTGGATTGGAAGGGACCTCAAAGATCACCTAGTTCCAATCCCCCTGCCTTCAGCGGGGACCCCCTCCACTAGATCAGGTTGCTCAAAGCCTCATCCAACCTGGCCTTAAACACTTCCAGGGAGGGGGCATCCACAGCTTCTCTGGGCAACCTGTTCCAGTGTCTGACCACCCTTACAGTGAAGAACTTCTTCCTAATATCTAATCTAAACCTCCCCTCTTCCAGTTTAAAGCCATTTCCCCTTGTCTTGTCATTAGTTACCCTTATGAAAAGTCCCTCCCCAGCTTTCTTGTAGGCCCCCTTCAGGTATTGGAAGGCTGCTATAAGATCTCCCCGGAGCCTTCTCTTTTTCAGGCTGAACAGTCCCAACTCTTTCAGCCTGTCTTCATAGGAGAGGTGCTCCAGCCCTCGGATCATCCTGGTGGCCCTTCTCTGGACTTGTTCTAACTGGTCCATGTCTTTCTTAGTCTTGCACTAAGCCTTGTGCAAGGCTGCACTGATTACAGTCAGAACACAAACATGTTTAAAAGCTTTGTTGGACTGAACAAATGGTAAACATTTATTTTACCAAACTTTTGATGTCTCCCATATACTACCTCAGAGCTAGTCGCCTTCATTTCCTTACTATGCATGAAGACAACTGTGTCAAGGAATGTTCTAAGGTGTGATTCATCAGACCTATTCTAAATGTTTACTTCAGGATAAGCCATTGTACTTTGTAAAACAACTAGATCCCGTCTCATTAAACAGTGAGAACAGAATGTTTATTCATTTCTTTACATCTTCAGAGAAAGTCAATCTTTCCAGACATCTTGTCTACAATCTTATAAGTAAACAAAACGGGGTCAATGGCCTGACTCAAACATCATCCCTTAATAGTCTGCGGACCTTTATTTTTACTCCTTCACAAAACTGCTGTCTGATGCCAACTATTACCCTCCAGACATGGCTTGGGGCCAGATATGGCACAGCCCAGGAAGTGCTCTCCAAAGGCATCTAGAAGACAGTCTGCCTGCTTCAGATAGAAGCAGGCCCTACCAGTTTGTTTCAGTGCCAGAAAATGGTCCTTTGCATCTTCTATTTGAAGAAAAAATGTTAATTAGCATGGATGACAGGTCTAAATTGCAACTTTAAATGAAAAGGAAGTAGATAGAAAGGTAGCTTTTAAATTAACATTTTAATGAAAGTAAGGATAAAGTAAAGAATATAAACATAGCAAAAGTAAAAAAAGAAGCACAGTTAGATGGGGCCCTGGTCAGTCTGATCTAATGGTTGGCAAACCTGTCCACAGCAGGGGGGTTGGAACTAGATGATATTTAAGGTTCTTTCTGACCCAAGACATTCTGTGATTCTATTCTATGGAAGGATGGCTACAAAAAACTATTAAACTATGGTATGACATATATGATTGTGATCAGTTTGCACAAATATAACAAGGAGACTAGCTATTATCTAAATGAACTGCCAATTTAAAATATAGTTCACTTGGTACATAACAAGAAGATCTACTCCCTGTAAATTACCTCAGAGAATACTATCAATAGAAGGAAAGTAGAGAATTAATTTCCAGAAGATTGGAATTTGTACCAACTTTGTTTCTATCAAAACTAATGGTAAAGCATCTTCTGAAAAAAAATGCTTCTCTGGTGCTGAATGGCTTTTGGCCATCCTAACATACAGGCAGAAGCTGAGCTGTAATGATCTAATGCCCCTGTACCAGAATGAATTATTACATAGACATGATTGTGTATTGGAGGTTGTATTCTGTAAGGATATTATGAGATGTTATGGTCAGATCTTCAGGTGCACTCAACATCCTTCACAAGAAGTAGCAACCATGAGGACTTTTGAAGATCAATGTGGTTTTGCTCAACAAAGAACTATGGTCCTACAAAACTAAGTTTGAAGTATGTATGGAGCACCTTTTCGTCTGTTTCCACCCCAGGATGGTGGGAGCTGGATATTAAAATTACTTGCTTTCCTTTCAGCTATTTTTTTTCTAATCACATAGTTTTACTCCAATTTACATGAGTTTTAGCTTCAAGAATCACTGGTCATTGCTGAATGCAAATAAGCACGAAGTAAAATTATATTAAGTTTGCACAATTGATCTTTCATCATCTTAAATGGTACCTTTTAAAATTTCCTGTAAAATCAGCCTGAAATACTCCCATCGTTGACTGTCATCAAGTGGAGCAGGGTCACTTTGGGAAAACCCATTCTCAGTGATGTAAATTATAGGGTTATTATATGTATCCTAGAACAAGAGAGCAGAAGTTTTATTCTGAACAGATGTAAGAAAGCCCATAAAATCAGATGCATTACCCTCTATCTTTTCTAAGCTACAAACTAAAACTAGTTTTCATCAAATTGCACTGACCCTATTAACTTAATTTTCCATGAGCTGACCTTTTATGACTAACAATGGAAAAGCAAAACTGTGCAAATATCCATGAAGACAGTCAAATGACTTATTTTAATGAGAAGACTAAAATATCTTTCCTGCATTAGCATCTGCTTATTGTCACTGCTCCTTAACCCCTTGGTACTGGCAGTCACCACACATCCCATTGCCAGGAGTAGATGCATGCCAGGAAAGCCTTACTGCTGGCATCAGAAAGATAATTTCCGGAGTTCAGAAGTTGATATAACACTGGCATGTTATTTCAAACTGTAAAATAGCTATCAAGTACAAAGGCAATAGGGAAATACCAAGGCTTCTACTCTTTATAGCCAGCATGCAAAAATTAAACTAAGAATCTCAAGGTGACTTGTTTATTTATATCTTGTACAATGTCTTATGCCATCAATATGGACTCCTAAAAAAAAAATCCAAATCACCAGTAGTACTCATTGGATTCTCAGATTACCCCATTGGCCAGCTAATAGTGGTGAAATGGTTCTGTGAGCCTTAAGTCATTCCTTAATATAACACGTCAGCCAATGCAAACCCTATGGTACTATGGCAGGTATAAACTCCCAGTTGCAACAGGCCAAGAAGGATCCATTTTCTCAGCTTCACAGTTCATTGAAATACTTATCCCCTTGTCTGCATTTTCTTGGTCTTAAGTTTAACAGTTCAGGGCAAAGAAGTCAGCAATACCCATGATCATAAAGTTTTGATTCTTTAGTGAATTCCAGAAGCCCTGATGGCAAGTAATCCTTCTTTGAATGCATTGCAGAAACCTAGAATTTAATGATGGCTGGATATTCACCATCACTAAGTACTGTCCTGAAAAACCCATCTAAGGTAAAGAACAGGTAGTTTTTATTTGCTTTTTGATCTGCTACAGAATTCATAGAGGTTCTACCAATCTGAGTTCAGAGCCATAGACACAAGTCCACATAGTTTTCTCCAAATATCACAAGAGTGTCAGGCTTTAGCATGTGCTTTTGTCACATTATAGGATGCCTTGTAAGCTCTGGTACAAATGTTGGGGCTATACCTTTTTCGCAACCACCTATAGCAACAACATAAGGCTCATTAATAATGATCACTCACTCTCCAAATGTTCTGAAGCAATACTTTGCATGAATATCAAAGGTCTCAATGATATTTTCAGATCTTTAGCCACCTTCATCTTCTAAGGACTGAGGTAAGCCAAAGTGATACAGTAAGCAGGATGCCATTTCTGAGGTTGTTAATGATTTTAATGTAATAATAGACTCCTGAAAATTTTAAAAGAAACAAAAAAGGGTTAACTTAGTAACTTTATTACATTTTAACACATTAGGAAACATCAATGCACATTTCCTCTGATAAGAGATGCAAATATTTCCCCTCAGCTGCATGCTGACTACTGTTACAAGACCTCAGAGTTGGCAAAAATGCTCAGCACACAAAATCTTCCAACCAGGCACATAAAATGAAATGAGGATGCAAATTTTCAAAATAGATCAGTGGACAGCAACTCCCCAGGAGAAACATAATTCTGATGGGTGCTGGTCACATGAAAATATAATCCTTTCATTTAAATGCCTGAATGGCAGCCTGGCTGCATGTACAAGACGAAAGCGTGGTGGAAAAATCCTGACACGTGAGAGCCTGACAGGTAGATTTGTTCTAATGAAAGCATTTCTTTCCTTGAGAACCGTGTCTTTTAAAAAGTTTAGTGCCACATTCAGTAAGGTAACTAAGCTGATCTTTTATGATCTGAACTTGGTTAGCTGGGTGAGCTGTTTTCTCTAGACTGTTCCATCCTCCATCACTGTCTGTGCCAGCATCAAGGCAAAGAAGATACTGTCAATGCCTTCAGTATTTTGCAATGGTGTGAATTTGATGGTTCCCTTATTTGCTGGGGTGTCTTACCAGATCTGTATGACATTTAGGGCTTTTCATTGGGATTTAATAGATTTCAGATGGAGTTTAGTGTAATGGTCTCTTTAGCCACCAACTTGAACGGCTTGGCGATAGTTTATCCAAGAAACCAACTCTCTTCCTTTTATACTGTCACTGCTGCAGGCTGCTCAGTCCCTCTAAATGCAAGAAGGAATTAGCTCACCTCTCTAAAAGCTCATGACTTACAACCTTTTTCACCCCTTGATAAGACAGAGATCAACTTTAATTTCCTGGATGTGTTGTTAAAGCTGGCCAGTACTGGGGATGTATTTCTAGGGGCTTAAAAGGAATTTACCTTCTATTCAGATTTAGCAGTGGCTGCCATTAATATGTTTCCTAAAGGACTGTTTTTATGCTACTGAGGGGTCACTGTAAGTTTAAATATCAGGATACCTCGAGCTCTTATATAGGTATTTTTAACTTTGCTTATATCCAAACACAAATACATCACTTTTAAGCCTTCTGAAAACACTAGATATTGCTACACATCAGAAGCTCTGGTTCAGAGTATCAATTAGCTTGATCTTTTACTTGAACTATCTGATTTAGTGCAGTAACTGGAAAAGGCCAACAGTGGCCTTAAATTATTACTTGTTAAGCTAAGAGGCTCCAGCCAGGAATAGGTCTCTGTCATGCTGGTAGAGTGCAGAAATCAGTCAGCCTTTGCTTCAGATACCTGTTCTAAATATACCAAAGTGTTTAAGAACCTTAGAAACCAAAAATCCATTAAAAATTTGTATGCCTCAGACAACCACATACCCTAATAAGACATAGATGCTTATGAAATGTCTATCCCAAGGCCTTGATGTATTGAAATCCAGAACTGAAAAAGATCTAAAGTTGAGAACACAGTAGAAAGGAGGAGAAGGTAAGGATTTCCGTGGAATGGCTTTTTTAAGACATTTACTAGAGCAATCAATCATGAACCCCAGATTCAGACAGTGCTTTCTTGTAAACAAACAGGTGCATACACATCCTTTAGCACAGCAAGATTCAATAAGTTTGTTTACAAAGCAATTCACAATAAATCTCACAAATAGTTTGCTTTTCCTTCTGAATACAGCACCAGAAAATCACATTAAATTCTAAGGAGGTACAATACTGTGCCTGAGAATGCACCCATGTAAAAGAGGAAGGAATATACCAGAGTTTTAAGTTTTGAAAAGAAAATTCTTGCAATTTGCAAGAGCTATCAGGAGCAAATACATCTTGTTACTGTTACTTTTGAACAGGGACCTATTTGACTTCAGTGGTACTGGGCATGTGTTAACTGTTTGCTGGTGGGACCACAACGTTTACTACATAAGCTTAAACTGTGAAAAAATAAATCCTTTGCTGGTACAGGATCCTTTTCTACCATACTGAGAGTAATGCTTGCCTAGAAGACACTAGCATTTCCTATCCTAATTTTCAGATTATAAACTACTTAGTATAATTTATAACATTTAAGTGGAACCACTTATCATTAATTTTTTTACATCTCAATTAAACACCAATATTGGAAAAGATTTATGCTTTGTATTAGGAAATGAAGAGAAATAGAATTGCATCCCTGAAAAATCTAAATGTCAAGTCAAATTTCCAGATTGTCTCTTACCTTTCAGAGTAGCCTAATTTAGTTTCTATGGCTATATCTGTAGGTCAGCTAGAACCAGAGACAGAGAAAAGAATATTCTTCCAAGAAAACATGTATATAAAGATTTTGTGGAGACACTCTAAAATTTGGTGAGTACAGACATTAAGGAGCATTCTGTCACTGGGAAGTGAAGAATTGTTCTTTTCCCCTTTCTGCCATCTTCTCTCACCATCTTGATTCCCTACTTTCATGCTGAAGTAAGGCATAACATCAAACTTTCTCAGACTCAGCATCCCCTTGCCTACTACTTCTGCCTCCTTCCATACTACACCTAGGGTTTAGCAGCTAACTTGTTCTTCTCAGGGCACTTTCTAGGGTAAAAATCCTTGTACAAAAAAACACTTTAAAATCAAACGTTGTAAGTTTTATCCAAAAGCCTGACACGTCTTAGGAACAATGCACCTACAACATTGTTGCTTTAAAAGATCCTACCCCCACCAAGTTAGAAACAGAATGGTTTTAAAGGTTTTCAAATGTCCTATGTCTTAGGTGTGAAATTGGTAGTGAATCAGTTGGTGTGAATGATTTTATTTGAAAGGACACTGCTCTAAGCTTTCTAATTCTTCACATGCTCTTTGTAAAAATGTTTATATAGAAGATGATGGCCTTTCCATGCTATGCAGTTACAATTGCTTCAACAGATCACTGCACAAGAGAAGTGAACTACTGCCTAATGAAAGCTGGCCTACTTGGAGTTCCTCCAATGCCCTTTTGTTAAATGTAAAGTTCATAATATTAATCAGGCAATTGCTTATACTGGAGATCAAGTGAACATTTTCTGAAATTACAGCTGAGTTTTGTAAAAATGTTAGCTTTCCTTACCAAGTGCATTCAGAATGTCTGCTTCCTGTCACTGTCTGATGTTTAAATAAGAAAGCCTATTCAGTAGGTAGCTCTGTGGGGTTGTAACAGTGCCTGCAACCCCATCTGAAGGAATAGCAGTACAGGAACGAAACCACAAGGACAAAGCCAAATTCAAATTCACAAAAAGCGTTCCTAGGGAAGGGCAAGCTGTGTCAGTGAAAGTGGGATACATATTGTAAATTTTGGTGGCAAAGGAAAGGCTTCCATTCAACCCTCTCTGGGATGTTGGCACAGTTTTTGCAGTCATACTCTGCAGGGGAAAATGGCTGGTTGGTCTGTTTACAGCAGATTCACCAGTCCAGCCCCCCTTTCTGAGTTCTTGAAACAAAGGCTCCTCCACTCTCTGGTGAAAACCACAATCTGCAGGATGCAGAAGACAGGCTGCTGCTTATTGAACAGCCAAACTCCACATGACCAAAATTCCGCAGAAAAATATTGCTTCTGCAGGTATCTTCCAAGTACAGATCAGGATAACCTGAAGGGCATTTTCTCAGAAATCCTTTCCCTCTTTAGCCTTCCATCTTTGCAATCTTCAAACCACTGGAAGAAAAGAATTGCCAAGGAAACCACTGCCCAAGAAGTACAAAGATATGTATCTTCTTGGTAGAACTGAGGTTCACAAGAGTAGGAGACAGAATTGAGATTCAGAGGTTCATCCAAATCTACTTTGTTTTTTTCTCCCTGGAACATTATCCTTCCAGAAAGTAAGAGACCTCTGCCAACTACTTTGATTATCCCATACTTACTGGTTCAGCTTCAGTTGCTTTTATTCTTCACAATTCTCTTTATTTCTTCTTTCTTCCATTCTCTATGTTCTGCAGGTAAAGCTACCATTTCTTTTCTTTTCCTGGTAAGTCACCTTCATCCTTCCCCCAGTCCATGCCAATGGCATTAAAATAAACAAATCAGAAGTGTAACAAATTTTATATCTGACTTCTAGCAATCTGACCAGCTTGTTTATGTGCAGTATTCCTTTTCACGTTTACACTGTCTGCTGAGATTGTGAAAACTCTTCTCTTCAGAGCAGGGACTGTCTTTTGTTTGTCAGAAAAATAAGCACAGTTTTTAGCTGAGTATGAAGAATCTAATTTGGTAAAGGAAATATCTGGGAAAAGTATGTTCCTCTTATTGCAAAAGTTCAGTACATCAGAATATACTGATAAATTATCTAAATGCATTTGCCAACTAAGATCACAGAATCCCAGAATGGTAGGGGTTGGAAGGGACCTCTGGAGATCATCTAGTCCAACCTCGCTGCCAAAGCAGGTTCGCATACAGCAAGTTGCAAAGGAAAGAGTCCAGGCGGGTTTTGAACATCTCCAGAGCAAGAGACTCCACAACCTCTCTGGGCAGCCTGTTCCAGGGTTCTGTCACCCTCACAGTAAAGAAGTTTTTCCTTGTGTTTAAGTGGAACCTCCTGTGTTCCAGCTTTTGATCATTGCCCCTTGTCCTATTACTGGCCACCACTGAAGAGAGTCTGGCACCATTCTCTTGACACCCGCCCTTTAGATATTTGTAAACATTAATAAGGCCACCTCTCAAGTCTTCTCTGTTCTAGGCTAAACAGACCCAGCTCTCTCAGTCTTTCCTCGTAAGAAAGATGCTGCAGCCCCTTAATCACCTTCGTAGCCCTCCACTGAACTCTTTCCAGAAGCTCCCTATCTCTCTTGAACTGGGATACTTGTCTATTGTAAGCCATCCATAAATATCCTCATGGCTAGGAACCCTGTATGTATAAACATTCTGAGGAAGCAAAATGATTTAGAGTTACAATTAAAAAAAATGGAGTAAGCAAAAAGATACATGGGAAACATAATACTAATCCTATCCCAAAAGATTGTGCTATCCAAGGGGATCTGGAATATTAATTAGTGAGTTGTTGCAAACCTATAAAAAATCATCCCATAATTACTCTAAAAAAAGTTGCAATTTCAAAGCTACGCTGCAGAATAGCATACTGGATTAATTATGCCAGACTGCAGCAATAACCTTGAATTAAAGCTGCAACCTTCTATTTTTAAGAAACAATTGCCTTTCTGGTTGATGAAACCTGTCGTCCCATCAGGTAACAGACGTGACCAGGAAAGAGAAAAGCGATAATGAGTCAATCCAAGCTGTTTGATACATTTCAAATCTTCTTCCCACAGAGTGTAGCTGCCACAAGCTACATCACCAGTCTGGTTCTTGAAAACTCGATCTCCTCCCTGATGGGTGAATGTGTCCCAGACATTGGGGCCCTTTCCATCTGCATTCCAGACTTCTGCTTGAAAAACAAAATTTGGTCATTATACTTTTGACATCAAAAGACATATGTTGAATGTAAATATTTATCACAAAGGAGGCACAAGACCTTCAAAATCCTATGAACAAAATGAGCAGTACTGCCTCCCCCTCCTCATATCATTTAAAGTAACTAGGAAGATTCAAGTATTAGTGTATATTTGCATTAGGTTTTGCATTTATTCATATTTTTGCTTGCTGCTAATTATTTGAAAATCCTCTTTTAAAAAGCATTCAAAGTTCTGACAGTCTTCATAGTTCCTTAGCCAAAAATCAGATGTTTGCAACTCTTGAGATATTACAGGTTTTCACAAAGGGCATTTTCTAATGCAACTTCCATCCATAAATGTAAAAGATCAGTCTATATCAAAGAAAGCCTTTAGGGTATGAGAAATACATTCAACAAATAGGCACTTACGGCTTTCTGGATGTCCTTTGAAAATCCTGACAGTCTGTTAAAAAGAAAGAAATGCCATTATGAGCCATGGCCCTAGGCATATACAAGCTGAATTAATAACTCAGCTCTGCAAAACTTCTGCTTTCTGCTTAGCCAAACGTTCATGAAAATGAATTTTGAATGCTCAAAATCCCTGCACCACTTGCTTCACTTTCATAGTTTTGGGAAATTTCTTTATGATCCAAAATTGAGATAGACAGATTATGTCTGAAATATTAAAAATTTAACCATTGTTTGAGATTACACAGTACTAACTTTACATAGTATTTAAACCAAATAAATTCACCTTGCTTCATGACAAGCTTCTTTGTCTTTCCAGAGCAATGTTGTAACTGAGGTAAACTTTTAATTTTTAATGTGGAGAGCTTCATAAATTTACACCCCTGAAAAGTGTGATTTTATAATAAAATTCAAAATAATCCCAAAATGGCCAACCTCATTTACCAGCAAGATGTTTCAGAGCATCAGTGAAAGCACTGTTCCAGGGTTACACTTTAAAAACTAAAATGACATTGTGTGTTAAAATCATGCATAAATTAAATATCAGTTGGGTTGCAAGATTAATAACTATATAATAGCTACATATCAATCCTCAATAAAAGTGTTTTAATAATCAATTAGCATCATAGAAATTAGAGATGGAGCAGAACTATTAGGAGGTCATTGAGTCCATCCCCTGCCAACGCAAGATTGCTCCCTTAAGTATATTCAGTACTTAATACACATCTGTCTTATTAAATCTAAGTTTAATGCAAGGTTAAGCATATTGAAGACACTTAATTTAAAGCATTACTAAAATTTGTAATATCACTTCTATAACCTAGCTTTTCAAAGATCATTGTCACATTTCATGTTCTTTACAGAATTTTATTGCAGTACACGAACACCAATATATCTACATTTGGTTGGTCAGTAAATTAAACTCTTATATGGGACAACCTTCAAAGTAGGTCAAATTTTAGATCCAGGCAGTATGAGTTTCTCTTAATCTCAGACTTTACCACATATTTTGTTCTTTGTCTGTATACTCCTCAGAAAAATACAGTATTAAAAGTTTTCTATATCCTGCTTCTGATTTCAAGTATGCCCGCTGAAATAAACAGTAATTTTAGAGGAGTGTGGGAAATAACAAATAACAGTAATTCTTTGGTGGTACCTAGAATTTAGAAGCCTTTAAGAGCAGGCTTCATGCACCATATTGATATGATATAGCTCCTTTTTCACTACAGTGGGAGTGAAGGGAAGTCAAAAGCTGCCATAACGGGCAGCTAACACACCTTCATTTAAGAATCAGCAGCTAGAGCAGATGCTGAATGATTTCTTTTTTGTCTGCCTTCCTTGAGCAAAGGAGGTGAGAAAGAGGGGGAGAAGCATTTGATTTTCAGCTGAGTATGACAGTGCTACTCCAGTGGTCATTAGCCACTATAAAGCCCTGACTGGGGCTGTGGCAACAGACCTACTTTCAAACATTCCTCATGCTGTTCGAAGAGCCTCTCTATACAGTGCAGAGTATCCGAGCTAGCTAAATAAAGTGTAGGAAGCAATCTAGCCACGGCAACAGAAAGTTCCACATGCACTGATGTATCCTGCTGAGCTGCAATTAGTCTGCACAGAGCTCTGCTTTGCTTCAGTGAACTGAGCTTGCACCGCTAAGCTGACTCAGAAACCTCCACACTACACAGCAGTTCACAGTGCAGACATATCCTGAGTTTTAGCGAGCTTCAGGGCCAGGGAAGAACAGTGATGAGGATCTGATTTGACATTTCGAACACATAGGTGAGACTTAGCTACCGCACATAACATGTCATCAAATGATTAATATAAAGTTACCATGAAACATGATGTGTGTTTCCCATTCTCTGCAATTATTACAACGGAGTAAGACATTTTTCCTTTTAAGTGAGGCTAGTGAAGCAGGAATATTACTGATCAGAATATTGAAGTTTTCATGTACTTTTCCAAGTTAGCTTTTCTTCTAATTCAGTTGTGCTTTCACCTTTTGGAGTGAAATTTTTTTGGCCTGATCTCTGCCCAAAAGGTGAAATTTTGTTTGAATCGATGAAGTTCAACTATTTGGCATATGAAAGAAGTAAAGAAAACCACTGTTACCATTATGAGAATTTTTTGCAACTTTTCTCTCTCTCAAAAAAAACAACAACCTCCAAACCAAAAAACCCCACAAAAAAAACAAACCTCAAGCAGAGAGTTGAAATTTAGCATAGAAATGGCCCTCAGTAAGAAAAAGTGCTTTTGAGTGTTCTGGTGCAAATTGATTTTGATTTGACTGAGTCATGAACCTTTGAAATCTGCACTTTGAGCATGCAGAGTACAATTGGTATGATTTTTTAGCACTTTGAAATATACAGAGTGGAGAAGGTTGTGCTGTGCATAAATACATAGCTGACAGTAAAAAATAAAGTAGCCTGTCAGCCCTTGTCTCATCCACTGTGTATCTTGTGATATGTGCAGCAGCTGAGTTTGGACTCTACAAGAACTATTGCTTCAATCATGATGCCTATAAGTCGGAAGCTGCACAGCTTCCAAAGCTTTCAGGAGGAGGAATTCCCTGTTGAGTTTCTTACTTCTGTGGGAAAAGGGTCATTTGAGTAGTGTCTAGACCATATTATAGATTTTTTTTTTTATGTTTCTCCCACTCAAAAGCCTTAGGAAAGCTCATTAAAAATACATTAAGAGAACATTAAAGTTGCACATCTAGCCACTCAAAAGGCAGAAAATTATAATGTCATTCTATAAGTGCACAAAATTCACATTTTAAAAATTAGTTAGTAGAGCTATGCACATTTCAGGATCCACGTTAGAATCTGGCCCAGAATACTGATTCCCCAGGAAGAGTGAGCTGTTCAGTCTATTAGGTGAAGCTAACTGAGCTCGTTAAAAGGTACCAAGCATGGGCAACTACTCACTTCCAGCAATAACTAAGAACTAAAGGCTACATCCTCAAAAACAATTTTAGATCTACAACTCCTATTTAGGTACTGAAATCAATGGCAGCTAAGTGCCTGTATGCTGCAGGGTATAATATGAGAAAATCAGATCTATATGTATTTTAAAGGTCTCTAAACACACATCTATGAAGGAATAAATTTTGCGGGGGTTATGGCTGTGGGTACCCTGTACCTTACGGGTTTACATTCCCTAATCTGCTGCATATTTTCATATTATGCTGGGCAAATCCCTTTATCAGCAACTCCATTCAGTTGGGAATATGACACATGTCCCAGGGGGAGTGTATCCACAAGTCCAACTGTTAACCTCTCAGTTCATCATTTTTCATATTCTTTCTTTGGAGATGAATTCCTATGTGAGGACCCCCTGTATGTACCAGTGTCTGATAAGGTAGTTCTCCCATCCAGATTTGTAATAGCCAATAGAAGTCTACTTAAATTTGCTCTAGAGAAAGGAAATACTCAAGAACTAGTTGGAAAATTACTTCTATCTGCTTCCCCCCCACACACACACTTAATAGCTAATGAAAGGTTCCTCCTCCATTTCCATTACCTAGCCATATTTCTGGTATTTGAAACAGCTTTTACCCACTTCTTACTGCTCAGGCCATAAGGGTTTAAATAGAAGTGCTACATGGAATTGCATCAGATGTAGTATCTATGTAATGAGGCAAAGATCAAGAACTCTCCTTCCTGGATCTAGACTTTTTGTTCGCTTAACACTTCTTAACACTTTGGCAGCTAAAAATTGACACCTTCAATTTGATATGCTGCTGTAGCTACACCCCAAGCAAATCCAACTGGAAAAGCAATATCCTCTGTCATCGGCTGCAGAGGACAGGCGAATACACAGCATTATGCAATGCTATGGAGATGTGGGCTTCATTTGCAGACAATGGTTTCTGGCTCGATCACTCTTCCACTTGTTACAAGCAGATTCTATACTGAAGACAAAAATAAATCCTGTGCAGCTTCACACACTGAAGGGCAAGCCGTGCACTTTGTATATCTCAGGATTAAAGCAGAGAGGTTCAGTCAGCTAACAGTGAAAGTGGAAAAGGCAGCAGGGGTCACGGTAAAGGGGCTCCCCTTAGTACAAAGTGATAGTATACAGAACAGGTCTCTGTTCCCCTTCACTTCCCTCTCACCTCCCACCTCCCAGCCAAAGGATTTTGTGAACCCTCTACTCAACACAAATCCTTTAGCAACCAGGCAAAAAGAAATTTCTATCTCTTCCAATAAGCTTCAAAAAACAGCAGTATCTCTTCTTTTCTGGCATCAGATTTATATTTTTTCTCTCCTGACACCAAAACACTGGCCTGTAGTGGGTGAGAAAGGATGGTTTAGCCATTGCATGTTTAGCAGTGGAAAGCAATGTGTAGAAGAGGAAGGTTTGTATGGGAATACAGAGAGAACAGCTATCTTTCTCCTTCTTTACAATCCCATGGATGTTCATTTTTTCTAGAGCAGCAATGACAACCTTATGGCATGTGTGCCAGAATCAGCACCTGCAAAACAACCCTCAGGTCTCTTCCTCTCCCTTCTGTCAATGCTGTCACTGCTCTCCTGTCAGCAGGCTGAGAAGGTAGCAGCAGCAGGAGGACAAGTCAGGGTAGGACTGTTAACAAGTGGGATGGGCGGAAAGTAGTTTATTGTCCCTTCCCAGGAAAATGCAACACCTGGCACACTAGATGGCACTGCTGTCAGGTTTTTTTGTACTTTCAGGAGTATTTTTCCCCATTTATTATAATACTATATACACACTGCTTTTGCCAAGGTCAGTATCTGCACTTATTGGATACTTATAAGCAATAATGTATGATCATTACTATTTTTTTCTTGTTGTTTATTTTTCTTTTTTATTTTGAAACCTTTCTGGGTGAGGATCTACTCCTGCAAAGTGTTATACACAGAAATGACATTTTCTTGTCACTTGTCACAAACTTTAACATACACAGAAAAGCCACTTATACAGTTAATACACATACTTTTGTCAGAAATCCACACAATTAAAGAGTCAACTTAGTAGGAAAACAAAAAAAATCCTTTGCAAAGATGCAGAGAAGCTGATTTAATTCCAAAGTGCACATTGCAGAACCAGACAGTGCAGATGCAACACAAAATAAATCAGGCTTTCACAGCAGGCATGCATTTCCTCAAGTGTCTTTCAAAGGAAAGGTAAAAACCCTTTGAATACAAAGGAACAAAGTGGGAAATGAAGCACAACGTACCAACTTGTTCCCCACGCACACGCTGACACATGGTCTAAGCAAACATACTTATCCTTTACATGTTTTATACAGGTGACCAAAAATTGATGGAATGAACTAGTTAATGTTCTCTGGTTGAAGCAACTTCCTCAGGCTTTCATTTGGACAGTTAACAGTAAAACTCATCAGGGACACCTTAAATCGTGATTAATAGATATTAATGAACCAGAGCAATAATGTACATTTTTAACATCATTAAATATTATTGGTAGGTATCTTTGAAAATGTAAGTGACATCAAATCTTTTCCCAGAAAATCATACAATTCCATTTCACAAGAGATATAATAAATATGTAACTCAATAATAGGGGGAGAGGGGCAGGCAGGAGATAGTAGCAATAAAAACCCAATAAAAAGTTTTATAAAAATGCTTAACCATAGAAACAAGGCTAAAAAGTGTCACTGCTGATTCCCTGCTAGGAATCAACAGAGACAGAGATGGGTTTTAGGAGAGATTGAGTGGGAGGAAAATATTCCATAAGCAGTCTGGGGAAGGGTGAACAAAATTTGCTTCAGAGGTTAAGGCAGATTTGCAGTAATGAGATCGCAGGCTATGTCAGATAAGTAGGCAGATACTGAAAGATGCAGAGCTTCAAAATTCAGAGAAGCTGTGTTTATAGTAGCTAATCTCAAACTCTTCCAGCAACCCAATTTCTAGATTTGTGACCCCACTTCTGGTTGTATTTCTGGACTTGTGGTCCCCACTCCCTGTTGCTGCAGTGGGGCTTTCAATTTTATTTCCATTAGACCTACTGCATGCCGTGGCTCCTAGGCTGCACCCGCCTTCTTACTCTGATAATTTTCCCTGCATCTAACAAATAACCTGACCCCAACCTGAATTTCAGTATTTCACTGTCCCATTGTTTTGTTAAACACATATAAGCACAAAGCTATAAGAGATCTCAGTTCTACCTAGAGGCAAATATCTTCCAGACTAAGTTTACAGTTTTTACATTTGCAGTGACACGGACTATATATAACTAAATGAGCTAAAGCCAAGTATTCCCAGGAAAAATTGAGCAGTTCTTGGATATCCAAATGTATTTGGATAAAGATATTTTTGGCAAGTCAATAAAGACCAAGAGTAATTGGCTCTCATGCTAAGAGTTGGCAACTTAACTTTATGAAATCTTAGGTATTATATTAATGTGAAGGAGGTCCAAGCTTTGGTGTTGGGCCTTTAAGTCATGTGGGATTAATAATTATCAGCAGAATTGTATCTTGTAAAAATGATTTTTTCCTGAATGAATCAATGTTTTCTAATGGTACAATATAAATAAGTTTAATAGTATTTACTACAGAATTTAGAAACTCAACTTTGAAGGGGTTATGAAAATTAAAATCTCTGTCCAGAAATTTTACACTGTGCAGGAACAAAAGGATATAGCTACTTTGGAAGCAAGACTGTACATTTCTGAAAGAGCCAAAGATAGAAGTTCACATATTTTGTGAGCTGCCTTTGAAATTGCTACTCATAAATTTAGCTTCCCTCCCTGGCAACATAATGGAACAGCTATTGAGAAAACAAATTTACTGAAACACTTTGAAGTCTGCAGACAAACTTGATTTTGTAATAGTAATACAAAATTAATGAATAGAGAGCAGAAACTATACTGTCACATGCCTGAATTTTAGCAGTATATTGTTTTCTTTAGGATATTTTAGCACTGAATTTAAGATGTTCTCAATGAAGTTACGGAGACAGTTTCCACCTTACACTGTGGCTGCAGCAGAGGACTCCTAAATTTGACCCTCTAAATTGAGCCCTAGTAAGAAGCCTCTGCTTCTTATTGTTGATTAGCCTTTCTTCTCCCATCTCCAATGTGTCAAAATTCTGTTCGCAAATTTAAATCAAATTGGAAATTAACTATCATGTTGACTGAAATGAAGGGTGATGACAAACAATGAAGGGTAATGATAAACAATAACTTTAAAGGGAGGCATTTAGTGTGGTACACAAAGATTAGTATTACTTCTGATCTCATTTAATAGCTTCAATAATGAGCTAGAAGAGGGAGTAAATGGTACATTAATGAAATCTGCAGATCTATTAAACTAGGAGGAGCTGAGCACACTGCTGAAAATGGAGAAATAATACAAGGGGTCATGCGAATATTAGAAACACAGGCAGAATATTGCATTGAGATCTAGTTTAGAAAATAGAAGAATAATATTTGGGTTAAAAAAATCAACAGATTGTAACAGGTATACATCTGGAAAGCTGTAATTCTGGAGGAGATTTAAAATTAAGAACATCAGGAAAACTAGGCAGGAATCTGTAACTGAGCAGCAGAGAAAAACAGTGGAATTTGGGCAAAACTACTAAAGAATAAGCAAAGTAATAACTCATCTTAGAGCAGCATTACAACCATCAGCTCTCTTCTGCATTTAGTTTGGGCACTGGAAAAACAAACTATCAGTCAGATGTTTAGAGATTTTGCAGCTATGGAATTTTTTTGCAGGAAGAAAACTTGAAAGTAAGCCATCCCTTTAACAAACAATGTTGTCCTTCATGAAGTGAATGACATAACAGTGAGCTACTGGCTAAAAGGCTGTAAAAGACCATGAGACTGAAGAAATAAAATATTCTCCCACTGCTTCTGGTAATTGCATCATGCAGTTTGAATTTTCTGATATTGCTGAGGAAGCTGCCAATGTTATGCCAGCTGTTATGAGCTTTCCAATACCAGATATATGTGCACAATATCTTGGAGAGATAAAGTCAGTTGTGAGCAACTCAATTCCAGTTGAGGAACTCGCACAAATTAGTCTTGCTGGGAATAACTCGACGCAAGCTATAGCGGAGAGCCAAACTGGTGTTACTTCACTCCCTGTACAAGAGACAGTTTCTGCAATTCTGCGCAGCACAGCATTAGGATGTATAGTACATATGTGAAGTGATATTCCATATTGGTCATCAGTCTTCAAAAGTCCTTGGTAGCTCTTGGCTGTTGAAGGCATCATTGCTGAGTGCCTCCATACCATCTTTTTAAGTGGGCGTGGCAGCTCAAGAGTTTGTCATTGTCACAATGTTGTGATCCAACACTGAGTGTGCAGAGGGCAGGGCACTGATCCACAGCTTTAAATTTGCACACTTCAGTGAAAAAACCTGGCAAAAGCCCTTTCATGTAAAACCATGCTCTATTCATTTATATTTCAGCATGTCCTGCTGTTCCACCTTTCTGGATTGTTCACCTTCTACATGAAGAGGCTTAAAAACTATGAGCTGTCATGCAAAAATGTCAGGATACAAAAAGGAGGATATGTATATGAAAACCAACATAAAAAATACCCGAAGCATAGATAGACCCCCTGGTCCCTTGTGAATGCAACTTGTTTGCTGCAACAGTGCCTCTTTACTGATGTTTCAGGGAGACCTGCCTACATTTTCCAGAAATAGAGAGTTTCAAGACTTTTGTAGAAACTCTTCACTGGCAAACTTGCTTGATATGATTTTTCCAGGAAAATCATGTTGTACCTAATCAGATTGGCTGCAACTGGTTAGAATGACACATCTGAATGATTTTAAATTAAACCTCATAACAATTTTAAAAT